TGCCCATGCGTAACCACGGCTTTTTTTTGTCAACGGAAAATCATCAAATGACTTCTCCCGCCCAGTGAAAAACCCCCCGTTCCTTCTGCTCTAGGCCGAGGCCGCGGCGCCATATTGCGCAAACCCCACAACCCCGGCTGAACATCAGCCCTGTAGGGCCCGTCTGTAGTGGTCCATTGGCGCGCGCGGATCGCTACTCGCCGTACGCTCGGGTCTGATTCTGGTCGGGCGGCGAGCTACCCTTTCTCGCCTTCCGCAGACCGGCCCTTACGTTGTCCGGAGATCGTCTTTCGGTAACCGAGGCGGCGAGGCCTAAGAGTTTATATATACATAGTTACTGTAACTGATTCCTAAATACATCTTACGGTTAATTTCTTCTTAGAATCTAGAAACTGAGAAATTGTTAATAACTAGGAACTGTCACAGTACCTAATACATTAATTGATTAATTGAAATTTCAACTATCAAATTACGTGACGCGTAATTCTATTATTTAGTGTTGGCATTAGGGAATCAAAATCCATGTGATGTCATTCGCAGTATATTTTAGATGTTACAGTTACAGAAAAGTTGTTTAATGATAAAGAATTTATTGTAAGATAAGAAATAAAAAAATACATTCATACCATACTATTTCAAATACTTATAAAACATATTTTATGACATTAATATATTTTTTAAATTATAATCATTAGAAGTTATAATAATTCCAGAGATTTGTAAAATAGAATAAATTTAATTAAATTTAAATTTTATAGGCACGACTCCCTACTTATAGGCGGCCTTTGAATTACAGCGGATGGGTCTTTGTTCAGCCGTGGACATATTACGACGGTTCATGACGACGATTTACTATTTGTATCGCTTACACGTGTTCTTTGACCTAACTAATTATATCGTCGATTGTTTTCTAAAATCCTCTTTGGCGCATGAAATCAGAAAGTTTAACAGTTATTAATAGATCATCTAATTAAAATACAATTATACAATGTATGTTCTACGCCAGTTAAATAGTTAAAATATACTTAAAACATATTTTTTTAATAAAAAACAATACTAAGATGACACGAATTTATATCAAAGCGCGGGAAATCGCGACCCTACGTCATCGTTTAGTATAAGAATATTATCGCAGAAGGACTGTTTTGAGAAGTGTAAAGTGCTGGGTTGTTGGGTTGGGTGGTTTTGGTTATAGGGATTTTATCAATTCTTAAAACAAAAATTACCTAGACACTGCACCTGCATACCCACTAGGTGTGGAATAAATCTAGCCCCAGGTTATACGTTCTAACGTCAAAAAGGGCACAATCTTTATAAAAATAATCCTTAAAGGTTACGTTCGATAGGCTGGTAGGAGAGAATGTTTATCACCGTCTGTGGTTGATGTGTAGTTTCTTGCAAATAACTGTAGTTAAGCACTGTCCGCACTCGACCAGATTTACTGTATCGACATTCTGACATATAATCGATTATACGTAGGATTTAAGGGATCGGCTTTCGCATATTGAAACTACAGGAAACTTTAGGAGGATATTATTTTAATCTCATATTTGTATTACTATTATAAATAAGTTTACTTTTTAATAAGACGCATTAAAACACGTATGTTGTATTTGAAGCTAAACTGAATTGATGGACAGATTATTAAAACTACACGGCAAGTGTAATAATGTTAGTAAAGAAAATAACACCCGTAAATAGCTGTACCTACGTAATTAAAATCGATAGTAGGTAGGTATATCTACCATCACCAAGATTTTCTTTCATATAATTTGTACCACTACTATCAATCAGGTTTCTAATTTTATATCTTAACTGCATATTCTAAGAAGTTTACATTAATAAAATTCGTTCCAAAATTATGATCTTTCTAATCTGTTTATTTAAGTTTTTGAGTTTTGTTGTTTAAGATTTTTCTTCAAAAATCCTGCTAAAGAAGTTGGAAATTTGAAATTATATCGAGTGGTGATGAAGAAGGATGCAATTAAAGAGAATCTAAGGGCTGGAATTTCCAAGAACACTTATCAAACATGACGGCCATCAGCAGTTGCGTATTGTCTGAAAGAATTTATTTAAAAAACAATTTAAATATTTTCGAGTTTGGAATGTAAACAACTGTCAGTTTCTGTATTGTGCGATTGAGAAAATGGATGTGTTATCTATTAGATATAGATAGATTATTCGACTGTAAGTGTGGGAGAGTTATGCTTCAGCACGAATGGTTTGGCCGTCCAGTCCAAAAAGAAAGTGTTCTTACTCCGTGGTCCGGCCCGACCGTAGTGATACCACGGCCTCACAGAAAACTGACGTGGAACAACCACAACGTTGTATTATGCTGTATGAGTAAGGTTACCAGAGATCCGGATTCGGGCCCTCCCCACCCTAATCTCTAAATCTCCAAAACTCTAATCCCCAAAAGGCTGGAAAGCACTCGAAATTCCTTTGTTGTCGCGGGTGTCCAATTTTAATATGGGTCAATAGTAGTATTTAATAGGACCTTTATTGTTAAAGTCGCAATTTAATACTATACCTATATAATAGTAATGTAATAAACAAAACGAAGTCCCGAATTTGTTCGCACTACGTAAACGAGTATTGTCTTTTGAAAACACAGTTTTCGCACATAAAGGAATTTCGGCTAGTGAGAGAACAAGTTAACCAAATCCACATACATACACACCTACATACTTACATTTATATGTACGTAGGTACGTCCGCACCTCGACGGAGCGATTACTGAGGTCACTCCGACCGAGATTTGGGTCTGAGGTTGAATGCGTCTTTGTTTCAATAACGCGTATCATTGTTCCGGTTAAAGCAAGCAAAGTAAATGTGTGCCCTACGTGTTTACCAAGTAGTGGGCCTTAGTTAATATATGGGGATAAAACTGCACCGCTTTGTTTTTAGTTCAACTTATATTAGCTTTTTTCTAACAAATATCTTTAGTTATGCGCTTGAAAAATTAAATATGGTGTCTAGGTGCATGTCTCACTAGTACCTACTTAAAAAGTATGTTATGAAGTATAAAGTATATCATTCAATCCGTTGATATAAACACAGTATCTACATCATTTTTATATGGTAAAACTGTGAAATGGCGGAATTGTGAAATCTGATAAACAACAGCGAGATATGCTTTCGTTTTCATTTGATAACAGCATTTAAAAAAGAATGTTCAAAAAGGAGATAAAATAACGCAATATTGATAAAGTTCAAAGCGAGACCGCGTACAGCATTCGAACGTGCTTGCAAACACCGATTCATCCAGCCACATTCGGATATAGCTGCAAAAAATATTTCAGAATAAATCGTTTCTAAATTCGTCAGTTGGAAGTTATGTTGATTAAATGCACTCGTGCAAAGCTCAGAGTATTCAATGCTGTACTCGTGAAAGGATTGATTCCATTTGACCACGTGAGAAAGGATTTAGTTCGTTTTGTATTTAACTTTTCGAGGGATTTAGGTAAATAGGTAAGTAACGAAACTAGTAATGCTAGCGCCAATAAGATTGGTTTGCTGTAGTGATCACTATCACAGTTAAGTTAAATATAAGGGATCTTGCGTTTAAAGATATGGGCCAAGCCCGCATATTAAGTTTGTCACGGCCGTGACCTTTGTAGAGAAAATTGATATATAGGTAACCTATCATACCTACCATATTCACTGTGATATATTATATATAAACACATATATTTATATTATTTCTGATGCCTCAGGTGTGTAGTGAAAGAATAATATTCTGTGTTGTAGGTAATCTTTTAAAGTACTTACCAAGTATTACTTCGTCTGGGACAATTGTCAATATATGTCCACCGTAGTAAACTTCAGTCACCCTGCAATATATAAAATGTTCTCGATTCCATGTTCCAAGTCATTTATTTTGGACGTACTGTTTCGTTTTTCATGGCTGAACGGGTACACACCACGAGCCCTGTTAGCGCTTTTAGGTAAAGCTAATGGATAACGGATGTAAGCGCTGCCGTAGCTCGGTACGGGAACTTTACAGATGTACTCACCCATTATAAAAACATTAAACGCCTACATTTTGAATATCTTAATACTTTCTTGAATTATGGAAGACTAAATGTATCGCTATTGTTCGTTTAATTTGTGTTATTTATCTACACTCTACTTTTTATTTATTTATAAGCCTTTGTTCGTGTACACGACATTTCAACGTTAAATAAAAACGAATAAAAAGACGAAAAACCTGCCAGTTACCTTATTGTACAACATCAAAAAAAAAAATGCAAATTAAACTTACTCAAGAACAAAGACGTTTGAGTACTAAAATTTAATTGAAACGAAACAAATTAACAATACTAAAGTAGGTTTTACAAGTTTAACGAATTAGGCGTTAATGAATGAGAAATTTCAACTATTTCGTTGGAATCTTGTTTATAGCCAAAGTATTTTGTATCATTTAAATGTCGTAAAGCAGAGACGGGGGCAAAAGTCCCACAAAGCATCTCTTGTTCGCGACTTTTGCCGCTGAATTATTCATGTAATCCATTTAGTAGGGGCAGTATATTCGATGTGGACGCAGAGACAGTTAACTCCTTCGACGAGATTTATATTGTACTGTACGTAGTCAATAAAAAAAGATTCGATTGCGTCCCAATAGCTGTCAATAACGAAGTTATTTACCCAACAAATGCTGTCTCAAGATTAAATTGGCTTCTCATGTAGATGTGCTTTTGTTTCCAGAGATAGAACAATATTTGAAAATGTGTTAAGTCTTATTGTCTTGCTCACTGTTTTGTTCCATTTTCAAAAATAATACGCAAATAGTACGCAAAGAGGTTTATATCCTTCAGTTTTTAAAACAATGTCCATCTATAAACTGACAAAAGTTTTGATCCTTTATCACGAACAAGAATATTTCTGAGAATAATTTAATAAAGTTCTCCGATTGTGAACAAATCGTGTAGATTAATTGGGGCTCAGTAAAATAGAAAACGAGATTTATAATAATGTTTTCAAAGTTTTATTACCAATTCTACAGTCTTTACACTAGTTTCAAATGGATTGTGATGAATTTAAAACAGATATCAACAGAGTTGGTACAGTTACTTTGGTTACACTAAATTGAGTTTGATATCTTCATTTATTTATGACATAACCGTTATTTAAAACTATCGGTACATTATCTAGTAATTATAACTATGGATACTTAGAAATTTTGAGTATAAATATTCGTTCTTTTTTCTTACGAGACCGTTATGTTTATTTTTTCTATAACACTGTCATTACAACTATCAGAGTATTAACTTACTTGGATTTATTATACACAACGTATTTTAAAATTTATTCTAATTCTTAATACTTACACTTAGATCTATGATAATAATCACAATGGAAATTATTATATTTTCAACATAAGATAACGTTAAACGTCAAGTCGAAACATATATTAGTATTCATTAATGGAGAACATCTTTGATTTACATGTCCTTTGATCAATATTGAATATTGTTCATACAAATCTTGCCTCGTTAGTTAACGCAAAATTATAATAATGTACACCGAGACTTAGATCTCAACTAAATTTAGTCAAACATAAATAAATGTAACCTTTTCTTATAGGTAACATAAACATTTTCATTCATATGAACACGCATACGTGTGGTATTCAAAACATTGGTAAATCTCAGGGTTCAATGTTGAAGATAATTAAAGAGACGCTAGACTAGATTATAATAAAATAAGCACGAAATTCAGTAACCAAACACAACGTGGTATATACAATAAAGTTTGTGTTAGTAAATTAACGGTCAAAAAGAAAAGTATTACGACTAAATTAATACTTATACAGCAAGAAAAAAAGTACCCTGATGATGTAAACTTTTTCAATTATCACACATTTCGTTATTGATAGCTCGTACTTGTAATAATTCATTGCCGTCTGCCAAACTTCCTGACCTCGGCACCTCGAGGCGATGAAGGTTTGAAAGCTACTACTCCAGGATGAGTGGCATCAAACTCACAGGGGAACGAAATTGGGAAAAATCCTTGAACACAATATTGTGAACAATATTTACAAGATTATTCAATCATGTTTACATTGTACTTTTGTTTTATCCGTTATTGTATTTATATCCATGTCAGTAGTCTGAACCTCTACTCCAGGAGTATTGAAATTGTCATATGAAATGTACTGAGGAGCTTGCTGTACTTCAGCTTTAACAATAACCTGTCGCTTCTTTGTTTTAATATACCCTAATGCAGAAACTAACACAACGAATACTATAAATCCAATACAACAGCCCACAACCAAACTTAGTCTCCTTGTTAATATGTCTGCAATGTCCATGTAAGTATTGGAGAAAGGACTGTCAATTGCCGCTCCGAAGATTTCTATAGTTCTTACACTAGTACATTTACTGCTCAAAGAGTCGTTCATGTAAGGACGGAGATGGTTGAAGATTTGCTCGTCCGAGTACAAATTATTTATACTTGTAATATCAGGGGAGAGCGCTATTCGAGCGTCCGGCACGGAAAATCCTGTAGATGTTGAAGGACCGAAGCTGCCGACTGCTATTACGCAAACCGTATATCTGGATCCTGGTGTCAAATTATTGAGTCTTGTTGATCTCGCTGTTGCGTTAAGAATTTTCCCTCGTATCTGTGGGTGAAAAATAAATTACATGAATTGTAACCCTGTCAACTGCGTCTAAAATCGAAACTCAACGCTCAAATCGAGCGCTTAAAAGTTTTGACCACCCATGAGCCACAGTAAAAGAAAGATTCAAATGGATTCACAGCACAGTTGAACATGCACAGGCGAGAAACATAAATATTTTTTATGGTCCATTGAGGTGATACACAGCCTTTGTATTCAAATATTTGTTATAGCGGTTGCCGTGCACGTTTTATACTATGTATTACTTAAATTATAAACATTTAGTTAGGCAGGTGAAAATTTTCACCAGACTGGGGATAATTTGGGAAAATACATATTTAGATCTTCATATATACGTACCGTCGTCGGATTGTCCTCGCTAAAATAAGCTACTTGATATGCATTCAAACCAGTTTGATTGCGACTCTGCCAAGATACTATGATCGAATATGTTTGTATATCTTGTATAGCAATACGGATGACGATAGGTATGTCGCAAAGTTTCTGGGATGGTAATTCGATGAAGCTATAACCGTGAAGATCTTCCGGATGTTCACAACGCAAGTTACGACTCCCTTTGATGACTATTTTATAGTGTTCTTTCATCCATCGCCAAACCTCTTGTGTTTCACAGTTGCAAGTTAGTGGATTCTCTGGAATTTAAAATGTATGGTAAAATGATATCAAAGTAAACCATTTAAACAAAATTGAAAGTTTCAATATCTTACCATTAAAATGTATAGTTTTTATCTGCGTTTCTAGTACTTTAAGCATTTTCATTTGTATTACTTCAAAGTAATTTCGACTCAAGTCAATAAATGCAATCTTATTCAGATTTCTAAATGCGTCTGCAGATATAGCTGATAACCAATTTCCACTCAAATACAATTCTGTCAGGCTCGGGAGACCTCTGAATACATCTTTATTTATCCTTGTAATATGATTAAATGAGATATCTAACTTCTGCAGACTTTGCAAGTCCGACGTGAAATCTTCCAGTTCTCTGATGACATTTTGCGACATATTGAGGACGCGCGTTGAATACAATCCTTGAAGTCTCTCCCTTGGAATGTTTTCTAATTTATTTTGACTTAAATCAAGCAGCTCTAAGTTATGCAGCTTAGAGAAAGCCCCCGGAGATAGGCGAATTATGGAGTTTTGTGACAATATCAATCTCTTCAGCGATGGAAAATTTTCAAAGTCTTTACTTGTGATAATTGTAAGGTTTGTATTAGTAACAACTAATTCCTCTAATAATGGAAATAATTTAGAAGGATATGTTTGCAATAATTGCACTAAAGAGTTAGAAGACATATTTAATGTTGTGAGCGCTGGTAACACTGCTTCCGACAAACCGTTGCTTGGAATATTTTTAAAAAGATTATGAGATAAGTCTATCTCTTTCAAGCCAACAGAATGATGGAAAAAATTCGGTGGAAGAACTGTTAACATATTATTGCTTAAATTTAATGTAACTAGATTTTTAAGTGATGGGGAATTAAAGCCATTTAACATAGAAATGCGGTTATTACATAAATTAAGTGATCGCAAATTCTGTAGACCGATGAATTTAAAGAAATCAATGCTATGTAGTTGATTGCTACATAAATCTAATATTTCTAATGAAGTTACATTGAAGAGCGCGTGGTGAGGGAAATCTGTGAAATTATTTCCTTTCAAATTGAGTTCTTGTAATATTGTTGTGTACGCGAACACATCTTTGTGTAAGTCTCGAAGATTATTATAAGCTAAATTTATTCGCAACAAATTCTGATTTTTAATGAATGTCGTTGGCGGCAGTTGCGATATATTTGATAATTCTAGGGACAGAGTTTGTAATGAAGGAAGATGAGCAAACGTTTTATTTTCCAACAATGTGAAGTTATTCTCGGATATTATTAAAGATTTCAGTCCAGGTATTTGTATCTGAATGATGTCTTCCCAAGTTAAGTCATTGTTATTCATTTCTAGATCACTCAAATTTGGTAAGCTTTTGAGTGAATCTACTTCGATTATTGCTATAGAATTTTTACTCAGTCTAAGCTGCTTAATCGGCAGTGAAGAAATGTCGAAATTAAATATAACAATGTCATTTTGCGATAAGTCTAATATTTTTAACCTAACTAGAAACTGAAATGTATCTTTGGTGACTTGATTTATGTGATTATTTTGTAGGTACAGTTCTTCCAACGTTACAAGTTTATAAAACGTCTCATTACTTAATTTTATAAGCTTATTATTACTTAAATCTAGAAACTTAATTTTTTTTAAGTGCATAAATGTTCTATTTTCAATATGTACAATACTATTATTTTTTAGATACAGCCTTTGAATATTTAACAAATCATTGAAAAGATTAGATGTTAATATTTTAATGTTATTTTGGCTTAGCCACATTATTTGCACGTTCATCTGCCCTCTAAGAGAGCTATTTTTTAACATCGATAAATAATTTGCACCAAGTTGAATAGAAACTAAGGATGAATTTCTGTTTGGGAATACATCCCCAATAGTTGTCAAGCGGTTACCCTGCAAATTAATGTGTTGAAGACTTTTGAGGGTAATGAATGCGTGAGAGTCTATGGTTTGTACAAGGTTATTTTGCAAATGCAGTTCTAACAGCCCTGGCAGTGGACTAAATACATTTCTTTTGATTTGACTTAACTTATTATTTTGCAAACGTATCTCTTTCAAATCATCCAATTTCTCAAACACCAACTCGTCTAATTCATTAATTTCATTATTATCTAAACTTAAAGTTATTAGTTTACGATTTGATTGAAATACACTACGAGGAAGTTTATTTAAAAAGTTTGTTCCCATATGTAGTTGTGTTAAATTTTGTAAAGATGAAAAACTATTCGGATGTAATTTTTGAATGGCATTATGTTCTAGATTAAGAACTGTTAATCCAAACGCGTTGATGAATGCATCGTCCGATATCTCTAAGATATTGTTTTCTGATAGAAATATTTCTGAGAGTTCGTGAAGGTTTGAAAAAACTCCATTAATGTGGTGGAGATGGTTATGACTCAAATCTATAGTTCGGATACTTGGGTTCTTTTGAAAAATATTCTTAGCAAGCGTTGTTATCTTGTTACGACTAAGATCCACAGTTTCTAGTTTTTCTAAATAATAAAATGCTTCCTCGTCTATATGCTGAATTTGATTACTAAAAAATGTTAAAATCCTTATTCTAGGCATACATCTAAACCAATATTTTTCTATTCTTGTAAAATAGTTTGAATTTAGATCTAAACTCACTAGATTTGGTACTGTAACATTTATGTCGTCCGGTATTGAATTTATTTTATTCCACGCGAGCCGTAGATTGCTGAGTTTATTTAATTTAGCCAAAGGTTTTAAAGGAAAAACTGTTAGAAAATTTTCACTTATATCGAGTTCTGTGAGAGATTCTTCTAAATTGTAAAATGCATTTTCTGATATATTGGCTATTTTGTTTCCTTTCAAATTTATTTTTTTCAACTTAAGATTTCTGAATGTGTTTGCCTGAATTTCTTTGATGTCGTTAAGCTGTAAATCAAGTGCCCCAATATTGTGAAGTTCCAAGAATGATTCATGCGGAATTTTGCTCAATTTACCGGAAATTATGCTCAAAGATCCTAACGAGTCACGTAGCGATGTAAAAGCGTTAGGACTTATTTTGTTTATTCCCGACTGCGAGATCTGTAGATTAGTTATTTTTATTTTTGGTGGGAAGATATCTGCATTTAGTTCAGTCGTTGATATTTCTAAGTCGTATATTGAGAGCGATTGGATGGTTCCTCTTATCTTGGACAGCACATTTTTTACGACACCTGGTGTTGCGCTGGGGCATTCCAAAAATAATCCTGAAATAAATATTTTAATTAACGATACACTCTTTTAAATGTACGTACATTACAAGATTGTGAGTGTTTTGGCAAGTGTGGTTTAATACAAATCAGAGAGAATTTCATAACATTTGCAGTTAAGAAGATTACACACTCACCTTCTTTGAAATTATAACAAGGACAAATTGGGTTCTCTGCTAAGCTTGGACATTGAGATTGTTCTTCTCCTTGTAGTATTGGTGTGTAGATAATGATTAGAAATGCAAATACGCCGCATTTCAGGCGAGACAGAAGAGTGATAACGCCCATGGTGTTGTGACGTCATTTCAATGGCATCGTGCATTCGGAATCCAAATGAGAGGATGTCGTTCTGGAACAAAAAAGGAAATGTAGTTAAGGAGTATTTAATGGGTGAAGCGATATTGTGGTTATATCAACTATTTAAATATAGGTTTGTACCTAATGTTCTTCGTAGAACTTTTGTAAATCAGGGGTGGCAATGACTAGAAAATTAAACTTCAATATCCAATTACAATAATTAATTAATTAATTCATTAGTGACCACAAAATTGGCTTTGATTAGTTAGGTCACAAAGGAATCAATTGCCATAGCTTGATAAAATAACAATTAGCAAGATTTTCCCATGAAGCTTACATAATTCATAGGAATTAGAATTCATAGGAACTCTGTGTTACTCCGTGCTAATTACTTAAAGATCAACAGCCAACATTGTAAATACTTTTTAATTTAGATAATTTGATACTTCATTTATTTTACCTTAACACCCTATAGATTTAATTGAGTCAACATAATAAAGATTCTCTTCATTTGTTTAGGCACTTTCTAATTATAATAAAACTCTAATTAAAGTACCGAAAAATGTTTTAGTAATTCATTTAGAAAACTTATTAGTTGCAGAAACAATTAATAAGGCTAAGAACAACAGAGCTCTTTAAAAACAGGCTTACAACGATTTGGGAATGTTTATTTTCGACCAAGCGTCCCTTTGGTGTTCTACTTCGAAAAATAATAAAGACCGAAATTATCTCGCGAGCTTAACTTTTCTGAAGCCAATCCTACGCCAATAACTTTTGCAAAAGAATACATTTTGTGTACTCAGCTTTATTTCATTACTTTGTATTAAGAATTTTATTTCACTTAGTTTTCGTAATGAAAGAATTTTGTAAGCAACTTAAACAAACTGTAGTTTTCACTGTTACGAAAGTTCCGACGCTATAAATTATCACAGTGTGGTTTTAAGCAGTCGAGCATAGAAGATAAACGTGCACTGTAGCTGGGGTGGGTCAACGACTTCAATTAAAACATATTTTCTAGAGTTTCTAGACAGTTGCTTGCAACATTGTTAAGGCGTTATTTCTATAAAAACGCTTTAAACCAACCTAGATACTGCAGTACATAAATGAAAATGAAGTAATTTTTATGCCACATTTAACTTTAAATTCGAATTAAATTAATGAAATTGCAATCAGTTAGAAGTAGAAAATAGCATGCGCCTATTCATCATGCGATTATTCTGAAATCACAATATAATTACGCTAAATGTCCCGAGTAGCTCGCGATTCATCATTGCTAATGTTCCATAATTAAATTTTATAGGCCATATTTCCCGAATGATATTAGTTTTAGCAGTGTATGGCACTAGCAGTAAACTTATTCCAACGAATAGAGTGACCCATTTATTTTTTGATGCTTCTGTTCTGTCAGCAAATTAACGGCGCCAAATAGTTTTGGCTTCATTTTGGCGACGGTACAAAGAAACGTTTAACTCAACGAATTGTTGCCCACTTATAGGAAACTGCTGTGTATTTATTTCTCGCTGTATTCAGCGCTTAAGCGGTGACAGATTGCCAGCAACCGCCTCCGAGCGCTACGGCGTGCCCAAGCTGCAGGAGACATTTGACGGGTGCAGCCGCATGCAACTTTAACGGTCAGATTGGTTTGTTGATGAAACCTCAAAGTAATATAAATTGAAGAGGAAAGAAAAACAAAATTTCGGCTTTTGACACTGTTTGAATATTGAAGCACTGTTTATTGTTATTTACATTTTTACTGTTAATTATTTAATCTCGATATTAATACTCGATTGTTTAATCAAAATATTGAATATTTTCTTGTGGTTGCTAAATGATCTTGATCCAGTGACTTCTCTCGTCCTTAGTGTCTGACAGACTCGTACTGACTAGGAAACAACCCTTTCCTACCCTATATAAGCAAGTGCACCGCGGTCGTCGGTGTGTACGACTGCATTTTTTTATTATTGCATTATAATAAATAAGAGTTAATTAAGGCAATAAGCGTTAAGTACAGTTCGTGTTCGAGTAAATCATTTACGCTCCTATCATCAAGAACCTAACATACACAGAAAGGTTTAAGGCTAAACACTTTTATTGCTTTAAACTATAACTACCGACATCGGCCCTAATAGTAGGCCTAGGGCCACCAGACCACCACAGATTGGGCCCCTATCTGTGGTCTTATGGCTCATCATCATCATCATCATGACATACAAAATGTGAAAATAATGATTCACTTGCATGATCGCTTTATGAATAATGGTCCAATTGTGAGTTGAAACTAGTTAGAAGACATATTTTCAGCCAGTTCACATGATTAAGACAGTATGCTCTATGAATACAGCAGAAAGTTTTCCTCCTCATTCAGCCTATCTATAAACTAAGGAATAGATTATTCAAAAAGGACCAACACATTTTATTAATAAACAGCATGTAATGAAATGAAACACGTTTGAAATCCTAACAACGTCACAAATATCTACGTATCTAATCCTCCATTTCTCATTTATTCAAAATTTTCGCAGATTACCGTAATTACTCGGTTTTCACTCAATCCAACGAAAAATTGTAGGTTGAAATACTTTATTCTGATTTCGTAGATTTACAAGGAAGGCTAAAGATCAAGGAGATTATTAATATCCGGCATTTTGTGAATAAATAACATTATTTATGTTGTACGTAAACGTTGTAACAAGGATTACTAAATATATATTTTTACAAGTACCTACCAACGTCATCGGGGGATGTATTTTTAGGGATCAATGAACTGAAAATATCGATTGTACTGGGGTAACCGACTTGTATCGTGAGTTTGATTCTTATAGATAATAAAAGGAAGAATCATTTCTATCAGCCTTTTTTGTGAGGGAAAAACATACAATGACTTCTCTAAGTCAGGGTAAGGCGAGAGGGAGTGTCAGACTCTTACTGACTAAAAACCGCCCCGTTCGTTCTCCTGATTTTTAGGCCGAGGCCGCGGTACCCTAGCCCCGCAACCTCGGCTGAAGAAAGGATGAATATCACCGAACTAAATATCAACAACATTAGAAAATTTATAATTTATTAATGAATCACAATGTTTTTCGCCGTTGTATCTAAATAATCTTGAAAAGTCATCATGATGTTCTTTTGCAGTGGTTGGCCTTTATTAGTACAACACTTGGTAGGAATAATTTCTAAATGCAGGGGTCAACTATACCGGAGCCGAGCAGCGAGTGAAACTGGGTGACAGATGCTAGTTAGTATAATATAGAAATATTCATTTTTATAAACAAAAGTATACTACCTATATATATTTTTCAACCGCATCTGAGAAGACCCTAGCTTCATTTAGTTCTCGCCTCGTGAAATCTTTAAGTGCTATGGACATAAACAACTAACGCTAGAATGAGTTTATCATATAATATAAGCCGTAAACATGCCGAGACTTGGCAGCCGGGTTAAAGATCCTGCCACACGTTCTCCTCATAAAAATACTTAATTGCTTCTTACAACACCTTGGGGAAGTGGGGTTTATTCTTAGTTAAGATTATGGAGATATTATTATTATTAAACCAGGTATATTCCAGGCGTTTACTTGCGTTCTTCAGTGTGTAACTTGTGAAACTATAATTAAAACTATTAGTTGATGTGAGCTTGTGTGTGTGACCGCCATGTGTGAAATTTCAGATTTTGTAGATCGGATTATTTTTAGCTTGTTAGTTAATTCACTGTCAGTGAATTAAATGTTTCGTAAATAATTGTAATTTCTAATTATTATCCTTTATTCGATTGGATCCCGATTATGTAGTTAGTGTGACTTCTAAAAGTATTTCTCGGAATAATGTTGCCAGTAATTTCATGAAATGTCATAATTCCATTTACAATGCTTATCATGAAATCTGAGTATAAACTGTCGTTTAAAATCAGTAAACTAAAATAACGGAGAAAATAAGGTAAACATTAATTGGAATAATAGAGTTTATATGAAAAAGATATTAACTAAATATAAATTAATATAGTTTCTATATAGTTTCTATGAAGGTTTAGTGTTTAGTGATTAAAATTCTAAATTTGAATTTCAATCCGAAATTAAATATCGTCGTTATTTGAAACGTGTGTTGTATAAAGTACATGAATATATCATTACAAAAATCTAAGTAATTTAACTGAAATTAATAATAGCGCATTATAAGGTATTTTAATAAAATATGAAAAACTATTTAAAAAAAGCAAAGTAAAATAAAATTGCCGTAATACATATCAGTAAAATGTATTTATTACGCCGATTTTATATTGCTTAAAAAGCTAATGCGAATCCTTTAAATATAATATGTACTTACTTGCATATAAAAAAGTTGAAAATAAGAAAAACATTTTTAGTGACTCAAACAATCACTTAAATGTTATTTTATGTGTTTTATTAAAAACGATAGAAAAGGAAGAAGTATTTATATTATTGAATGGACTATATTTTAGCAAAAAAATATTATGAAGTGGAGATTATCACCAGCGAAGCGTTTAAAATAAAAATTTCGCTTATAAAAGTAAGTGCCTAAATAAATTAATATAACCCTTTCCTGCTCAGTGAGAAACCTCAACAGCCTAAGGCATTTCCGACCCTTTTTTCCTCATCCGACATCGAAATTTTATTGTCACCGACAACGTTTGTGAATCAGGTTTGCTGTACACTTCCTAGGTTATGTTCCGGTTTGTTTGCCATGAAAAGGTTCATTATTACCTTTTAAAAGGCAATTATTATATTAATATGACATGACAACTGTATTTTATTTAGAAGCTTATAATTTTATAGAGCACATACGTTTTCATCATTACATATTATAAAACAAAGTCACTATCTTTATCGCTATATGGTATGGTTAAATATTTAAAACTGTGCAACAGATTTTGATGGGTTATTTAAATAGCTAAAGTGATTGAAGAGGAAGGTTTTGTATCAACATTGCACTCGTGCGGGCGGATAGCTAAGTCGCTAGTTCCAATCATATTAAAAAAATGAATCTGTCTTAGTTGTCGGAAGATTAACGAACTTACTTTTTATGTGAATTTAATATG